GGTTGCTGTTGAATGACCCGTGACTCTTAGCGTAACTTGAAGAATGGTCCTTAAGCAAGCTGTCTTGGAGTATCCGAGCATTCCTCAGCTATGAGATATTGCCATCTCGGCACAAAGCATGTCGCCATCGACTGGCTAAATTACAGGTTTGGGGTTTCTTAGTGTAGGGTGTGTAGGGCGTGCGCAAGTAGGACAAGCAGAGAGCGGACGACCAGCATTTCGGCCGTGAGTAACATGTTCAGACCGTGTCCGGCTGGTCCAATCTTCGGGGAACTGTGGGCATCTAACTGCTGGATAAAGCAAGAGGTTCCACTACCCTTGGTTCTTCAATTGCTGCAATGGATGTAGTATTGGGGCCTTAAGAATTAGAATAGGGTTTGGGGGGGTATATTATACTATATTGAATAGTAAGGAACACCCAAAACCCTATTCGATGTATTGAGGCCCCTATATTAAACCCTAAGCCCTAAGCCAAAGACCCCCAAAAAAATAGCCATGCCTACTATGGTAGCTTCCTCCACAACGCACGGTCCGCGGCTTCAGGCGCTCTTCCACCACTGCTCTGCCTCCCCTTCACCTTCCTAGTTCTAAGAACTCTGTTTGGGTTTAGGGTTTTGGGTTTATGGTAGTTCTAAGAACTCTGTTTGGGTTTAGGGTTTTGGGTTTAGGGTAGTTCTAAGAACTCTGTTTGGGTTTAGGGTTTAGGGTTTAGGGTAGTTCTAAGAACTCTGTTTGGGTTTAGGGTTTAGGGTAGTTCTAAGAACTCAGTGACGGAAATCGGAAAAGCGACATTCAGAGAAGTCTCAGCAGCCGTAGTAGTCGCTAGAATAGCCATAAGAGTAATTTAAGGGAGGACATCCAACTGAGTTTTACAGTCGTAGAAGCCGCGCCATGGTTGGTAGGACTGGAGAGACGGTAGCAACACCCGCAGAAGAAAGAAACCACACTGTTGATGATATAAATCCTTAGCATTACCTTACAGGACCCTAAACCATGAGAATAATGGTATATTCCTTAGCCCTAAACCCTAAACC